GATGGATGGAGGGGTGTGAGAGGAGATGGAGGGATGGGTGTGTGCCGGGATGGATGAGCGACAGATGGATCCACAAGGAAGGGATGGATGGAGGAGTTAGGAGATGGAGAGGTGGGTGTGTGCTGGGATGGACGAGGTGGGTGAATCCACAAGGAAAAGATGGATGGAGGGGTGTGAGAGGAGATGGAGGGATGGGTGTGTGCCGGGATGGATGAGCGACAGATGGATCCACAAGGAAGGGATGGATGGAGGAGTTAGGAGATGGAGAGGTGGGTGTGTGCTGGGATGGACGAGGTGGGTGAATCCACAAGGAAAAGATGGATGGAGGGGTGTGAGAGGAGATGGAGGGATGGGTGTGTGCCGGGATGGATGAGCGACAGATGGATCCACAAGGAAGGGATGGATGGAGGAGTTAGGAGATGGAGAGGTGGGTGTGTGCTGGGATGGACGAGGTGGGTGAATCCACAAGGAAAAGATGGATGGAGGGGTGTGAGAGGAGATGGAGGGATGGGTGTGTGCCGGGATGGATGAGCGACGGATGGATCCACAAGGAAGGGATGGATGGAGGAGTTAGGAGATGGAGAGATGGGCATGTGCTGGGATGGTTGAGTAATGGATGAATCCACCCGGAAGGGATGGATGGATGGATGGAGGGGTGTGAGAGGAGATGGAGAGGTGGGTGTGAGCTGGGATGGATGAATCCACAAGGAAGGGGTGGATGGAGAAGTTTGAGAGGAGATGGAGAGATGGATGTGAGCTGGGATGGACAAGAGATGGGTGGATCCATGAGGAAGGGGTGGATGGATGGAGGGGTGTGAGAGGAGATGGAGGGATGGGTGTGAGCTGGGATGGATGAGCGACGGACGGATCCATGAATAGGGGATGGATGGAGGCGAGGGCAGAAGTCAAGGCGGATGTGCACAGGGATGGGACAAGCAGATGGACACATCCACAGGAAGGGCTGGATGACGGAGCTCGAGAGGAGATGGAGAGGAGGATGAGTGCCGGGACGGAGCGAGGATGGGTCCACGAGGAAGGGCTAGATGGGAGGGTGGGAGCGGCAACGGAGATGGCCACGTGCAGAGGAAGGACGGAGAGGAGCCGAGGACGGCTGATGGCAACGGCGGGGACGAAGGAGACAGTGGAGATGGCGGGAGGGACCCAGGGGC